GGTGGCAGGCAGGTCGGGTGAGGGAAAGTTGTGTGCTGAAGTGGCACCACGCGATTTGAAGACATCTCAATCTTTTAAATTAGAAATGAAATGACGACAAATCGTAAGAGGAGCACCAAGCGCGTGTCTAACAGATGAACAGAAACTTCACAGATGAGAACGGACTAAAAGATCAGAACATGCTAACAAGTCACTCGTCAAGCGAGACAGACTGAGGGGCACAAATCATCGTCCCCAGCCACCCATAAAATATACAGTCAATTCACTTTGCAGTATATTCTGTGAAGCGCTTTGAGACGTCTTGAAGACGTGATAAGGTGCTATATCAAATGCAAGGATTATTATTATCTGATACCTAGTCCCCAGTCGATGAAAAGAAACCAACTTGGTAGAAAGGGAAACTTGTGGTTCAGTTTCAGGTCTGCAAACCTTTTCGAAATATTCAGAATTCAGTGGAAGAAGATTAAATAAAGCAAATCCTTTCGCAACACAGGGATTTAACACAGTGGGATATCGGAGCTACATCAAATGTGAGGATTATTATTATCATTATTTTTATTATTGGATTCTATTCCAGGGATGAGCCCACTGAAATCACTGTCTCTAGCACAGAGGATGTCTTGGGACACAATCTAAGCTGCTGGGGATCACTGTTTGTTGACTAAGGTCAGGAGCTACATTGGGGTGATCCAACACTTCAGTGTTGGTCAAACACAGGTTTTCTTACAAAATAATGCTGGGGGTGATGTCACATCTCCGCCCCTGCCCAAGAGCTTTCAGTCACTTTCACACTCCCTCCGCTTCTTTCCCTACCTTTGTAACTTTCTTCGTACAACTCTCTGCCTCATTCCCTCTCTTCTCTCTTACTCCCTCTCTTTTTTCTGGTCAGCTGAGTGAGTGTCTGACACATACGGAAACCCATCATTGCGTTTAAGATTATCCAAGTCAAACTGAGAGTTACACATATAGACACACAGTACAATTTACATTTATATAGTGCCTTTCACTTCAGCAGGACATCTCAAAGGGCTTGACAATGTTGGCTGAGCACTTGAGCTGGAAGCTGATAGGGTGGACAAGGGAAAGATGATCAAACGCGCAGTCAAAGCGGGACATTTACAATATATTCTGTGAAATGCTTTGAGATGTCTCGAAGATGTAATAAGACACTATATCAAATGCAAAGAATATTATTATTATTATCTTGAGACAGAACTTGAAAACGGTGAGGGAAAAAGTGAGTCAGTGGGATTCCGGGTTGGAGTTCCAGAGAGCGAGGGCAGAATGGCTGAAAGCCCGCCCGCCGATTGTGTGGTGGACAGGGTGGAGGGCTTGAAGTGAAGGGAACGACCGGGTCAGACGGGTCGAAGAAGGTCACAAAGGTAGCGAGGGGTGAGATCGTGAAGGGCTTTGAAGGTGAAGATGAGGATTTGGATCCTCTGGCAGTAGGGAGCTACTAGAGCCAAGTATGAATGGTGGTGATAGGGATGTGGAGCCAGATGTGGGATAGGGCACGGGCTGTAGAGTTCTATGTGGACTGCAGTTTATGTAGGAAAGAGGTGTAGTGAAGCCTGGATGTGATAAAATCATGGATGAGGGTCTTGGCAGCCCAAGGGAAGAGATAATGCCAGATAGTGCCAAGAGCTAGTCCCTCAATGTTACAGAGGTGAGGGAAAGCTGAGTCGGTAAAAGCACTGATATGAGGTTTGAAAGACAGCTGGATATCAAACAAGACACCATATACCACTTAAACATGGAAATTTTCCCAGTGAATGCAATGGAATGTACGTGCACTCTCTCTGGAGGGACACATCCTGCTCACCTGATTCCAGAGTTTTAGGCGCACATTGGCAAAAGCCAAGGCTTGGGGACCCCTGAGTGTAGTTAAGGTACTGTTGAAATATAACCAATTGAAACTACATAGTTTGTTAGTAAGAGCATTTACTCCTTCTTTGACCTCTCATGGTGGTGCATAAAAGTTTAAATAGGATTGAGAAAGTAAACCCCGAACAAAACTTTAGGATGCACCAAGGCAATAGAACAAGAGCACATAGGTTTAGATTTGTAAAGGGCAATTTGAATTCACACCAGGAAGTATTTCTTTACACAGCGGGTAATCAATGACTGGAACAGGTTGCCAGGAAGGGTATTTGATGCCAGGACGCTGGGACTCATTTAAAAAACAGCTTGATGCTTTTTTTGCTCCTTTGCTATCTTATGTTAAACAGATCCCCTCCAGGCATTTACTCATTTACCACTGGAAATAATTTCTCCTTATCGACTCTATCAAAACCCCTCATCATTTTTAAAGGTCTCTATAATAATAAGAATCTTTGCATTTGATACCTTAAGTTCTCTGGGATGTTACCCTGCATGAAGGGCACTATATAAATGGAAGTGTTTTTTTTACATCGTCAAGTGCAGCAATGAATTTGCTCACACCAAAGTCGAATAAAGAGCTATGAAGCAATTATTTTCTTGGGATTTGTTGACCAGGACATCAGGAGAAACTCCCTTCTCCACACCAGAAAAGGCAGATGTAGGCAGAATTTCACCACCCACACACCACCCACACACACAGATAAATGCACCTCATGACTGTCTGTGGGACATAGATGTGAGAAAAATGGCCGTGATAATTACAAAAAAAAGTCACAATGATTGCTTTGGAAGCGCTTTGAGACATTTCAACACCATCAAAATATATCTTTGTTTCTTCTACACACCTGTTAATTTGGAAAGATCTGTTATTGCCGAGCTCAAGGGCAAGAACGAGATTAGATGTCAAAAAGCATCTTGCTCCATTTACAGTCCAGATTTAATTCCACCCTTAGCGTTGATAAAAATGGGTCAAAATCAAACCAGTTCAAGTCCGTACTTCCACAGCCAATAGTAATGTGTCTTTTCACGTACCTTGGCTGAAAATCGACTACATAATACAGTCACTAAACTTTAAAGTAAAATCCTGTGAAGCATTTTAAGACGTCTTCTTGATGGGAAAGATGCTATATCAAATGCAAGAATTATTATTATAACTAGAAACCAACTTATCATCTCCAATTAACAATGTGAGGCAAAAAAAATTGAGGATTTTTTTTGGCAGCTGGATGTCTGACACATGTGGAAAAACATCACCATGCTTAAGAATAACTAAACCAAACTGAGAATTCCACGCATCCCATCTACACCGTGGGAATTCCCTTGTCTGGAATGTGCACTCTCTCCCCGGAGGGAAGCACCCTGTTTACCTAATTCCGGTGAGTATTAGGGGCAAGTTGGCAAAAGCCAATGCTTGGGGAACCCAGTGTTTACTGGGGTAATTTTAACCAGTTAAAACAGCATCACTAGCCATTGGGGATGAAGTACAACAACAACAACAAGATTACATTTGTATAGCGCCTTTCACGTCGGGAGGATGTACTAGTTTAACCAAGAAGCTCTTTTGTGCAGAAGCTTACGTTTTCTTTCTTGAAAAATAGAGGGATTAGGGGATATGGGGATAGGGCAGGTAATCAGAGTTAGGTGAGAAGATCAGCCATGATCTTATTGAATGGCGGAGCAGGCATGAAGGGCCGAATGGCCTACTCCTGCTCCTGACTCTTATGTTCTTATGTTCTTCTTAGCGATGATGGTGCATCTATCTGATCATCTGAAATTTGGACCTCGTGTGCTATTGTATTATGATACCAATCATTTGAAAACAACACAAGCTGTTAATATACACACATCACCAGTGTTAAAATCAAAACTGCATTGACTTGAAATCCAGCAGTAAAAAGACACACACACACTCACACGTGAAACAACAACAATGTGCATTTAAAGAGTGCTCTTCACGTAGGATAACGTCTTGGGTACTGTCCAGTGACGGAGTCAAACACTGAGGAGGAGGAGGGGTAGGGGGGAGACAGCATCTAACACATCTTAAGCACACACCTGCAGCATTGAGTTTTAGTGCTCTGATGGGAAAGAGCGTTTTAAGACCTGCGCTGATGTATCAAAGTAAAATAGCACTTATGGCTTTGCACTCATTATGCAGCCAGCCCGTTTTGCACGCAGTGTAAATAAGCAATTGATATGTAATGAGCCCAAGGCACCTGAAATATTAATACGAATTTTCATGACATTAAAAAGCGTTTAGACGATAAAAAAAAAACACTGTGCATCTAAAAACAGAGTTGGCTCGCCAATAATCCATTACTATGCAGGCTTTAAAAAAATGCATTTGTTACCATATATTGTACCATATATTGTATTGCACATATGACCTACAGTGACAAAAGGAAATGTGACACTCTGCCAACTCCACTGTAATAAATACCTCACAGCATTTGGAAATATTTATATTTTTAAATGAATAACGATCCTTGCATTTGATACTCTGAATAGAAAAAACTGAATGCTGATGTGGGTTTTATCATTGTGTGTGTGTGTGTGTGTGTGTGTGTGGTATGTGTTTTAACCCTTTAATCCACACACAAATGAAGCAAAGGGAGCACATCAAATATGAATTGAAAACCCAGAGGTGCACATACACACACACACACACAGCTGTTTTTTTTTGTGGGGGGGGAGAGGGCTCAAGCCATGAATTATTTGCAATTGGAAAGAAAGTGATTTTATTATTTTCCAAGTCAAGTAAGTAAGTGTGTGGTGTGTGTGTGTGGTGTGGTGTGTGGTGTGTGGTGTGTGTGTCCAGCGAATGAATTGAACTGAACTGAACTGAATGACTGAATGAATGAATGGAGCAGAAGGTGAAGGCAATGAACGTTTCGCATCAACAATGACACAGACGGTCACAGAGCTACAATGTCTCGACCGCTTCCCCCCTTTTGGATACATTCCCTGTGGCCAAAAACAAACGGGTGGGTGTGTGTGTGTGTGTGTGTGGTGGTGGTGGGGGGGGGGGGGGTCTGCGTTTGCACTAACCCCCCACCCCCCCCCCCCACCCCCCAAAAAAAAAACCCACAGGAAAAGCCGCAGCATTTCGAAGGACTTACCGAATCTGGAGAAAGCTGAGCCAATATGGCGAACCTGGAGAGTCGGTCACACGAGCATCGGGTGCGAGCGGAGTCGATGGGGAGAGTCTTGCAGCCGCGGTTGGACCAGACCCCCTGTGCAGCAGCGCTGGCATTTGCAACACACGCCCCGGAGAGAAAGGGAGAAATGCGATTAATCCGATATACGCACCACAATACGGTATTTGCATTCCTTCGGTCTGCGTCAGAACCTTTCGAGAACGAAGCCCCACACGAAAAAAAAAAGAGGGGTTGAAAAAGCATTGCATTTTTCTGCAAACAAACCTCACACACACACACACACCTGCACTCTGCAAATCAGACCCAGTGTTGCTTTGTGTTCAAAGATCAGGCAAATGCTAATGCAAAAGCCTCGGAAAAGGTGTAGGAACCCCCTCCCCCCCCCCCCCCCTCCCACCTCACCATCAACAAAACAATTATTAATTATTATTACTCTTAAGACTAATATTTTTTAATCCTGAAAAAAATCCTCTCCACCAAACGAATGCAACGTTTTTAGACACACTGATTGACAGCTCAGCACATTCCTATTCAGAATAATCGTTGGCATTAATAGAAATATGGATCAGACACATTACACACACACACACACATAAATAAATAAATGATATAAGTATATAATAAACATGAGGCAAAAATAAACACTGCAAAAATCAGACTGACAGTTCACCGTGAGATTTATTTTTAATGCACATAAATAAATGCCTACGCAAAAGTAATCCTCAAACATTAAAAAAGAAAGGTGTTCACATCCCCTGCACACCGCAAATCTACAAGCATCTGACAATACAGGAATACAAATCTGAGAAACTGGGGCTCACTTTACTTTACTCCCCACAGGTAGCTTAGTCAATGTTAAAATATCTGTTCCATTCGGAGGCTGTTCGCTTTGTAGGATTCAGCAGCTACTACTGTATTTCCCTTCCTTTTGTTTTCCCAAAGAAAGTGATGTAATTGTAAAGATACCCAAAATAATCTAAACTGCTACGCGTCAAGTAATGCAAGTGTCGATCAAGCCAAAATAACCCGTAGAACGTACAGCCTCTTTCCAGACTGCATCAAAATAACAGGCCGGGCCAGCAGAGCAAGAGGGTGCAGATTTAGAGTAGAAAAAGGCAATTTCAAGACAGACACCAGGAAGTATTTCTTTACACAGAGGGTCAACACCTGGAACAGGTTGCCAGGAAAGGTAGCTGAGCTCAGGACACTGGACTTGATGCTGTGATGGGGGGACAATATGGCGAGTGTACTGGAAGGGTTTCTTCAAACTAATCTTGTGACCTTTTGCACTTCAGCAGGAATTTAATGGTGTTTTTTAACACCATTAAACCGGTGTAATCTGACTCACGTGGAAACCCACCACACCATGTTTAAGAGTCTTCTAGCTACTGAGAGCTCCACGTCTTATGCCCTCCGTTTGACTTGAATGGAGTGCTCTCTCCCCGGAGGGATGCACCCTGTTCACCTAATCCCAGAAACATGAGACCGTACAAGGAACAAATCTGTAAATGGGATTCAGTGACCCAGATGTGCAGCAAACAACTTGATGGGCCAAATGGCCTCCTTCCATACTGTGCCTGAGTGTGTCTGTGTGTGCGTGTATGTAATTGTCCTTGAATGTGCTTGTGCGTATGTGTGTGTTTACGTGCACATGTAAGTGTGTGTACATGCATGAGTGTATGTATGCACGTGTGTGGTGTGGTATATGTGGGTAAATGTCCAGGCGAGCACAAGTTTGGATGAAGCACAGATTACATTGCATATCTCCAAATCTTTGTTTTTGTATTTAATAAAATGCCACTCTTCCCTGTCCTCATTTATCCTACGACTTTATCATTCCAGACATGCACAAGGAGGGAGCTCTCCAGGGTCAGGATACCACAGACCACCTCGCTCTCTGGAAAGCCAGACACGCATGGCGTGGGCAGCCACTTCAGGCTGCACGTAGGCGGCAATGCACTTCTGTGGTTCTATCAGCACACCTACACACAAAGTGGCAGCTCTGATAGGGAGGTGGAGCCCTCTTCATCTCCAAATAACATTTTAAAAATACACTTTCTTTCACCTTCTGTCTATCAGAACGCTGCATGTGACGTATCACTGAGAGAACGGGGAGCCTCTCCTTGAGGGAATTTCTCCACGGTTCTATCGTTTTCACAGGAATTCAGGGACAGGAGGTAATTAATTATTATTAAGGCCATTGCAATGCTTATAAAAGGCTCCCAAAACTTTTCTGCAAAAAAATTAAATGAAATATCACCTGCTAGTTAGTGTAAACCCACAAATTAATAATGAAGATGGATTAATCTGAAAATCACACTTGTACCAAAGACAGACAGTTCGACCCGTTGGAATGCAGGGTCCATAAAAGCGGACCTCCATTAAGCATGTTGCTAATGACTGGAACAAGGTCATCAGGAAAGGTGTTTGAGGCTAGGACATATAAGAAATAGCTCAACACTGTGATGGAAGGATGGTAGGGAGATATTCTTGAAGGATGAGATCAATGGGGCAAAGGCCCTTCATCTGAACCAATCTTATAATCTTGTGAGGTATCGGAGAGGGGGAAAGATCTTTAGATACAAAAGAAATACTGATAGCAGTTTTTTAAACTTGGTTTATTAGTAAAATAAATTGAGAGTTGCTTGTGATAACTATTCCATGTACTAACTAGTTAGTACTAACTTATTAATAAAAATAATAATCCTAGTATCTTTCACTTCAGGGATAACAGCTCAAAGCACTTTACAGGAGATATTGTAAAGTGTGTGTTTTGTATTAACGAAACATTGCAAATCTCAACGGATAATATAATGCTATAAAATAACTATGCAGATAATCCCCACCCCCCACCAAACCTCCGCAACTGAGCTTTGAATTACTCTGCTAGTCATTTAACCAAGGGAAGATTTGCATCAATAAATAATAAAAGAATTTGCTTGATATCAATGAAGAAAAAATGTTGTGGTCCATTCAAACAGGAATAAGAAGGAGAAAATAAAATCCCAGCAATAGATAACTTCAATATATCCTCACTGTACTGTTGTTCTTGTGAGAAATAAATAATCCACCAAGTATGTTAAAAAGTGCTGCTTTTGATACACAGCACTGATAAATGGCTTTGAAAACCAAGCTGAGTCCACCAACAATGCAACCCCACTGGGAAGAGCCTCAGTTGGAAGAAGCAATGCCATGGCTGGTTTCAGACACATCATAAATGCCTTCATGTTGTGCTACATCAGGACTTGCAAATGAGCTGCTAAGCGGAAACTTCAAATTGCATTTGAATTGACTACAACTTTGTTTTCATTTATATCAACGACACCTGGCTTTATGAAAGAGCTTTCTATCTAGTACCCACTGCTTTGACTCCCCTCCGTCTCCCCCCGCCCCCACACAAAAAAAGTCATATTCCTTTTCAAATATTTCTACAAAATTAACCCTTGCATTTGATACAGCGTCTCAAAGCGCGTCATCAGTATTCTTAAAGTGTGGTGTCGCAGTGACTGCGTATTTGTAGGAGAATCCGATTTGTAACCAATTGCAATTATTTTTACAAGCAAAGTTATGGAGGAGCCAATGTTCCCTTTAACTTATCCAATTTGCAACATAAATTGCACAGTGTAAAATGTATTTCCCGCCCCAACGACACTGTCAAACTTTGATTTCCTCTCAGGACTACTACAAGTAGCTATGCGTGATTGAATTCTCACAGATGAAGTTTTGTGGAGTGGGGGAGGGGTTAAACACACACTCGTGATCAATTTCCACTACAACGACAACTTACATTATATAGAGCAAAGTGCTGCACAGTACGTTGGATGCCAAATGATGACAACAATAAGAGCAACAACTTGCATGCTCTTCCTTATTATTATTATCAACAATAATTTCACTAAAAGGTGCCAGTTGGAACACATGAAAAAGGGTTGCTTGGTGAGGTGAAATTTGCCTGTCTTTCTAGGGTCAGGGAGGGGAAATCCAGCTCAGTTGTCTGCTCCCTTTGCGGCACCCTCTATCTGGCTGTGTGGCAGCCAGGTAGGTGGAGATCAGACTTGGCTGTGGCACCCTTTACGGTAGAGTGACCTGTCGACAATCAGCGCTGAGGCTCACACATAAACACATGGGGGATAGAGGAGGGTAACCAGCATTCATGGAACCGTGCCATTTAGCAACAGGAGGCCAGAGAAGGAGCAGCGAGGAGGATGTCAGTGGGGAGACAATTAGAAAATAATCAGACAGAGTAAAATTTAAACAAAAGCAAATGATGGCCACTGAATGTAAAAGCCACTGGATGTCTAACCCAGATTCCACTAATCCAATATCATTGATTGGCTCACTAAACTCTCACAGTTCATGATATGTCTGAACCTCTTAGATTATAGCATCATAATCCACTGCTGCTTATCTCAGATCCTGTATGTGACACACAAACACACACACACACACACACACACGCACACAATCACTTGCTCACACACACAGATGCTGATTTTACTTTTATGATTTATAAACTTGCTATAAATAAACACGAGTTGCTGTTGTAATTTAGGTTACAGAATCATTAATCCTTTAATATGGGCTAGCACCACATGCATACTGGCCGCTGTGACCTTAATAGAAAGTCCTTTCCCACAATGAACCATCACAATGCGCTTCATAGGTAATTACAGTCAGAAGGTTGTGGGTTTAAATCCAGCATCAGGACTCTGACCTCACAGCTAGGCTGTCACTCCAGCATAATGCTAGGGGAGTGCTACATTGTCTGTGGTTCTGTCCTACAGATGAGATGTTAAATTATCTGTACCTGTTGAGGTTGACAATAGATCCCATTACACTATTTTAAAAAATCTTGCACTTGATATAGCGCCTAATCACGTTAAAATGTCTCAAAGCACTTCACTGGATTTACTGTAAATTGTAATGACGGTGTATTTTGTAGGTGAATGCAGTACTCAATCTGCGCACAGCAAAGTACCACAAACAGCTATGAAGAGAATCAAGGACATCTTAAATGCATGGACATGAAAAAAAGGTTTCTACTGTTGTATTAATTCAATGAGGTGGGGGGAAAGGAGTTCATGTTCT